AATCACCATTATTCTGCTTGAAAGTAAAGTTGCTGTATATGGAACCACTGAGAAGTGTGTTGTTGTATGACAGTGAAACAGACATTTAAAAAGGATGGCATTACCAAGGCTTGGGTGAGGCTATTGCCATTTTCCCAAATGAAGTTACAACCCTATTTTACTATTCAATATACCTGTATTACTATTCAATATATTTCAAAATATTATTTCAATATTTATATAATTGTTACATGTATCTTGTGCAATGTAACAAATCTAGGGAGCTAATTCTCATCTGTGGTGTCCTCAAAAAACTATTGTACAAGTTTGCACTAGACATTCACCCCGGCACATTAGACACCCTCCCCCACATAAGACCCATATCACCATTCAGTGTTCCTGAATATGTAACATTATTGTTGTTTTTAAATCTACTTCTGAAGTCTAAAATTCATAAGTGATATCCCCGTTAGTTGGAACATGTGGTGCAGAGCACTTACGGGAATGAGAGATTTCCGGGTAACGAGACGACTCTCAAAGCTGGAAAAAAATCCCTCATCCCCAGAATTTTCCAGGTAACAGAAAAAATGTTCTCGGAAGTTCCAGAAACTGCCCATTACATCATCTCTCGAACCCGGAAAAATATCCCTCATCCCCGGAATTTTCTTGATGGAAAATTTTGCTTAGACTTTTCAGGAAATGCGCCTGATTTTCATCTCTCAAACCCTTAAAAAAATTCCTCCATTCCAGGAATTTTCCAGGTATCGGAAAAACTTTCTTGTAATTTTCCAGAAAATGTGCCTCTCGGAAAATTGTTCCCAAAGCCGGTATTTTCCGGAAAATTCCAGCTTTGGGAGCGATTTTCCTAGAAATTTCAATTCCAGCTATCGGAGAGTTCTGGGTTTGAGGGATTCTGGCTAACAGAGATATTACTGTATTTTGTGATAGGAGAAATGTTCTGAAAATTTACCAGCTAATTGGGTGGGTCTCCAAGAACCTTTATGAAACTATCTGAAGCCCCTTTGGTGTATTGTCTATTAAAATGGATTAATTCCTAGTTACTCTTGTCTGGTTAAGTTTACAATGAGACACTAAGGAGTACTGTAATTGATGGATCTTTCATATCGGCGAGGGATATTTCATGAAGTCAGTGTGATAAGAGTTGGAGGAGAATTGATGTTTATCACTCCTTTTGTGGAACTGGGCTCTCTATTACTGTATTGATATTGTAAGGGTTTAGGTTTAACCTGCTCATAAATGCTGTCATTAGGAATTGATAAATTTCTTTTCCATGTGAACTTTGTTCCATTTTGAAATACCTGAAGCAGGAGTGGTTACCATCCAGTCCTGTGGGAGACACATGATGTAGTGATTTTTGGTTTGGTTGAATGCATCTGAATTGTGTTGGGGATTTTGTTTTCCAAATAAGTTCAAGGGAAATTGCCTCCACTAGTGGGTAATTCTTAGAGATGTGTTTCATATTGATAGTGTAATTTCATTTTTTGTTGTTGCCAAGCATCCTGGGGGGAACTTTAACATTTGTGCTGATATTTTGTCCCTGAATATGGTGTTAACCTCTGAATGGGGATTAGATGAACCCATTTATTTGTCTGGGGAGTGGTTCCTTTGGTGGAATTGATGCTATGGTTGACAGATTCAAATGGCTAGTATTTGTTTTACTTATTGCCCTGTAGAACATCTATGAAATGGATGCTTTCTCCTTAAACTGGTACACTGGGGAACAATTATTTTTATTTCCTCCCATTTCTAAACTATTAGAGTTTGTGGGAGTATCAGACATTCCATTGAATTACAATGCTGATAGCGCCTTTCGGGCATGGAGGCAGGGGTTTCCCCTCTTCTGTGTACACTTTTCCCAAAGCTAACTTAATATGCCTTTTATGTATTTTAAGACTTTTGTAGATGCGGTTCCATTTATGATTTTATTTGTGCTTAACACACCCCTTAGTAGTTTTGAAATCTCGTTAGTTTAGTTGATTTACTGGGTATTTTTTCCCTAAGCATGGAACAGATTGAGGATACAGTATTAACACCATTAATTTAGTTCTGCATTTGTTTACAGAGATGTTTATAGAGTTGGATGCTTTCTGTATATATTTACACTGCAAAATTTCCTTAACCTATTCATTACACACAAGGTCTGTAGTCTAGGTACATGCTTTGTAGCTGTGTAGGATTTGCAGCAGGCCTTAGTCGTAAGTTAAGTATTTGTTGCTGGTCAATTGTATGGGTGGAAAATTTTCATAACCTGTGTTCAGGATCTTGCAATTCTGTAGCGTTAAGAAGTTTAGAGGACTTAACCCAGGACCCAAATATGTGACCAGGATCTGAAAATAGAATAGAGTTAACAAATATGTTATCCACCACTTACATGCTGAGTTTCTGAAGTTTAATGATGGATTAATGAACAGTAGTGTTCAGGTCTTTGTCCAAGGATGGATTAGTGAATGGTGATGTCCGGTTAGAATTTGGGAATAGTAATTTACCATGTTTTACTCAGATACACAAAAGAGACATGAGATCCCAAGGTTGACTTATTAGTAGGAGAGTTCATGATTACAGCTTGGTAATTTGTCCTTCAACCAAGACTTTCTAGGGTAGTTGCTGGTTCTTCAAGTCAGAATTGCATAATTAAGGGGAGCTTAAGTTTGTTGGTTTCTTACTATTAATCTGACCTAAGATTTCTTTAGGATTGTTTCCTTTTCGGTTGCATATAAGCACAGCACCTTCAGCCTTTGTGTACCTCCTCCTCTCTCTAATAGTGCAGATTTTGATAAGCAGAATTGCATGGTCCTGATGCAACTTATAAATGGAGGACTAATCCTGATCCCATTATATAACAGTCAGGATTGAACTAACTTTGTTATCCCTTCCTAACACCTTCCTCCCTCCTTCAGGGTGCTGAGGTGAGCTGGATCTGATGTGATTGAACAGGTTTTAAAGAATTTTTTAATTGATGCAGCAAATTCACCAATTGGGCCCTCTCATACTATGCTCGCAGCAGAACTCACAAGCCTCTTCCATTTTTTGGGGTACAAGTATGTTCTCACCTGGTGGAGGTTCTTTGGTACCCTGATATGAAGGTGAATGATAATCTAATTATCAGATAATTTTGGTTTTTAGATAACTGTCACAAGATGGGGCCCAAGGGTTATGGCCTCTAGAATTGCTGACTGTACAGAATTGCTTGATCCTGGGTTGATAATAAAATGGGATTTTAAGAACAGTCATGTCTTTTTGTAGTCTGAAATTCTCTGTAAATTCAGTCCATGTTTTTAATGATTTGTAGTGTCATCTCTTTATTATATACAGTACTGTACTGTATTATAAATGTATACAGTGATCCCTAGGTTAACGAACGACTCGGTTAACAAAATTTCGGTTAACGAATTACCTTCCATAAGAATCTTCAATTCGGTTAACGAAAAAAATTCGGTCAACGAATTTTTTACGAAATCGTGTCAACATGTTTTCGCTTGCTCACCAGCTGGAATATTAGTCTGCCAATACAGTAATCGGATCTAGGGCTAAAATTCGTTCCCATTTGAGTAAATATCAAGAAGGTTGTACTGTACTATTCAATAATTTTCCAAGTTTTTTATTGAAATTTTTAGTCATTTTAAAACTTATTTAACGTAATTGGAGTACAGGAAACTAGTTTTTGGTGCACCCAACAGCCACTTGACTCGCCCACAAAGGCGTCAGTTTGTATCTCTGGACAGTGGAGGTAACATCTTGCTTGTGGCTCTCCTGAACATAAACTATTTTTACATTTTTACAGTACAATTATTAGTCATTCTGAAATTTATTTTACATATTGACAATATATAGTGCAGTGTTGATGTAAAGAAAAGAATTTTGAATTACACCTAGTGAACTTAAAATTTTATGGGTGAAATGATCGCATGAAGCATGGGGTGATTTCCCTTCCACCCCCACTTCCTTCTCTTCTCCCTTCTCCACCCCCACTTCTAATTCCCATCATCATCATCAACCAGGAGCCTTCTATGTACACACCTCAAAGTAAGTGTACTTTACTGCATTTAGTTTTACTTTGTATGTAATTTTTGGTGAGCTGGAACCAATTACCCAAAATCACATTGAAACAATGGTTTCGGTTAACGAAATTTCGGTTAACGAACGACCTTCTGGAACGAATTGTGTTTGTTAACCGAGGGACCACTGAATTGATTCAATTACTGCAGGATATGTTCAATGTGGTTTTGCTTGTCATATTTTCATTTCCTACATTATCTTCTTTTCTCTCTCTCTTTTAGATATTATATTAACCTTCTCACACATCGTGAAGCGAATCATGTCAAATCATTCGGTAACACTATTTGCATCAGTAACACAAATCCCATCATTAAACTTTAAAAAAAAAATCCCCCCCCCCCCATTTTTTTTCCCCCAAGATAATTGCATCAAATTTTTGTGCATCATCATAGATGATTGCATGATCTTGTGAGGGGAGCTTTCAGAAAGCACTAAAGCTTGGCTAGAGTTCAGCTGTCCATTAGTTTGCTTCCGTCACTCGTGCTGGTAGGTCACATTTGTTCCTTTATCTCTGCTTACATCTTCCCTGCTAGTAGCCATATTAAAATTCCAAAGCCACAGTTGGAAGCTCATAAAATTCTGCTTCTATAACTATGATGCACTTGGTAAGTTCGTGAGAAAATATCAAAGTTATGTTGCTGGGAACAAATATTTTTTTCTTTGTTCAAGTGAAAAAATATACCGTACAGTATTCTTATTCTCGTTTTTTTTCCTGCTTATACTAAAGCCAAAACAATAACAAACCCAAGGGAATTATGTTTTGAGATAATAAAGTTTTTGTTTAACATTTTACTTTACAGTTCCTAATTTAGGTTTTTATGGAATGGGAGATAGATCAAATGAAAACATACTTGTAATATTATCCCTCTGTCTTTTTCAGGATTACCTTTATTGACGTATATCTCTAAGATTTTGGTGTTTCTACAGAAATTGTTACTTTCTAGAACTATGGTGACTGGAGCAAAGCATGTAAAAAATTGTGGCTCATCCCAGATCTGCATTCAGGAATTGACATCAGAAAATTATATCACAGTCACACAGCAAACAGGAAAGGTGAGATGGAATGACATTTTATTAAAGCTCCATTAGCCAGTGGTAGGGTACAGCAACAGTAAGGATACAGCACTTGCCTCCTGTTCTAAGGGCATTTGTATAATGCCTTGGGAACCCAAAGTCCACCCAGCTATGAATGGGCTATTAACTTTACAGCTGGCAAGTAGAAGGTAATCAGAAACAGTGCCAGCTACACTGTCTCCTTGTGTACCAAAGACTTCGTTCAAAGAGCTTTATGCTTTCTGCCCCTAAATGGGCACCAGGCTTGAGGATGGCCCAATTCAGCACCGCCGTTTCAGCGCCGCCGTTTCAGCGCCGCCGTTTCAGCGCCAGCCCATTTCAGCGCCAGACTATTCAGCGCCGAGGCCTTTCAGCGCCTGTGCGTTCCGTTCAACTCAGAAGCTATCTGTCTTTCATTAACGTGGTATAACACTGTATACTACACTTGATTTATATTATGTTGTATTCAACTTATTAATATTTGGTTAGGTTAGGTTAGGTTAGGTTAAATCAACCAATCCAATAAATATGTATGATTCTTTGAAGAAATTATTGATTTGGTGGCGCTGAAACGGTGGCGATGAATAGTCTGGCGCTGAAATGGGCTGGCGCTGAAACGGCGGCGCTGAAACGGCGGCGCTGAATCGTACCCTACCCACCAGGCTTATGGGATCCACCTTCACATGAGGATGACTGAACAATTCTTCTTTCTGTTTACATATGATACACATTCTGTTACTGCTCACTTCTAATTAGCCTTAGATTCATAATATTAACACTATAAGCATTGTAAGACATGTGTACACAGGAGGTAGCTATGACCTGTGATTTCCCTTTGGATTGACAGCTGTTATAGACTGTCATACAAATTCTGCCTTATCAGTTTTAACCCAGTGTCAGTTGCAAGTGACTCCCAAAATGTAGTCAGTTATGTCTTTGGGGTTAGAACACACATTAACCACTTGAAATAGTGAGTAAGGACTTAAGCCCCAGGTTAGGGTGCTGCTGGCAGTAACCCCACCCCCACCCCCTGGATAAATCAAGAAAAAAAATCAACCTTTCCAAAAAAAAAAAAAAAAAAAAAAAAAAATAATAATAATAATAAAAAAAATGGCGGGAATAGGTGGATGTTCTAGAACATCACCCGGGGCTCGCTGGTCGGACTTTCTGGAACGTCACCCGGGGTGTAAGGGTTAATACTGACCTTGGGATATGTCCAAATACCCCTCTCCTATGGCCTCAAAATGTCTCTGAAATTCACAGATACTCACAGATGATCTTCTGGTTGCGTGTGGCGGATATTTGTGCCCTATAATTATATACTTGTTCATGATTTTTCCAGTATTTATCTAATTTTGCTGCAAACTTTCCACCGTCTCCACATTCACTACCCACTCAGGTAACCCATTCCAGTTGTTGACAACCCTACTTGGGAACGAATGTCTTCTGAGATTTAGCCTCGTTCTTGTTTTGTAGATCTTCTTTGTGTTCCCCCGGGTAGTGTCAGCCTCCCTCATCTGGAACATGACTGCTGTACATGCCTGGTCATATATGCCACACACTATCTTGTATGTTTCCACTTGGGCCCCACTAGATCTTCTGTACGCCAGTGTCGGTAACTGTAATTTCCTTAGTCTTTCCTCATAAGATAAATCCTTGGTCAAAATTTGCTTCACTTGTTGGCTGTGGGGGCTGGTCTGGGTGGAAGTCCAGGGCTGCTTTTCGGTCCCAGTCTATCTCTGCATAGGAAAGATTGAAAGACCACAAACATAAATTTTTTAGTGTATGAGCAGATGCGTATTTGGTAATACAGTACTGTACTGTATTAAATATTTGAAGCTGCTTGAAAGTCTTGATGGTGAGATAGTTGGTACACATCACACTGCACAAGGTGTTTATACTTCATTACCTGTATTTGTACTTAGAAAACTTAGACTGCTTATTCAATATTGTTATAAGACTTAAGATTTTAATATTGTAACTGGAAAGCTAGGAAAAAATCAAGCTTTTATTTGTTTAACAACATTTTTCTTCTTTTAAGATGGTTGTAGTATTGCACTACAGTCACAACTGTGCAGCATGTAGTAGTGTTGGACACGTGTTTATGACAGTGGCTCACATGGTTCGCCACATCCCCAACATTACTTTTGCTCGCATAAATGCTCCTATCAATACTCTACCATGGCACCTCTACTTTGAAACCCTACCCACCATTATTGTACACCCACATTATAGGTAAGTCAGGTTATTCTATGCTCTTTATGTAGGTAAATATACTTCACTTTCAGTGGTTTCTTATTGGAAGGTATGACGGTCACAGGTTCATTCTTTCATTATGTCCCGGGTCTTAGTGGAGATTTTCAGACATACTGGTGACTGAAAAATAGCATCTTAATAATCTATGCAATAGATCATGTGACTCATTTACTGTCAACATGTCTATTATGTGACAACCTGAGGTTCCTAGGGTCCTTGACGTGCATGACTTGTGTTGAATTCCAGAAGTTAATTTCTTTCCCCAAACAACAGTAGCCCACAAAAATAGGTACTTGAAAGTGTCAAGTGCTTCTTAGGTGAAAGCCTGCTGAATTAACACACATACAGTACAATCTATTACTCATGTTGGTGGTTACAAATGGAACCACAAGACAAATCCCTGCTCAGTTTCAGCCATCTTGCTGCACTGGCTTGCACCATGTATTTTGGCTGCGAAGTTCTTCGACTAACATATTTTGGACATTTAACTCGGGAAAACAGTTTGCCATGCAGTCCTAGGTGTATTTATGTTGCAAGAGTGTTTACATTTCCTTAATGACCCTGTTGGTAGTTTGCTGGAGGAATGTTAGTGAATTCTGCCCTACTTGGCATTGTACCATCATGTCAAAGCTCATAGCTCAGTCCTGTTTAACTGAAGTGGGGTTCTGCTCTAAATGTTTAAAGCTACCAAGAAGTACTTCAGTTCCTGTGGAGTGTATAGTCTGGAATGGGATTTCAGAAAAGTTTCATTTTGGAAATGCATACTGGTTATCCTACCTTGAGATTAATTAGTTGGATCTGGGCAAACCCCTCTAATTTGCCCCTCACAACTGAATTATTAGTGGATTTTGTGGTAGATAAAAGACAATATCTTGCTATGAAAAGTAATGAATTTCTGCAGTCAAAGACTTCTCTTAAGTTTACCTGTCATTCAAGTCCTAAGACTGTTAATGTGTTTCTTATTGATACAGTTCTGTAGCATTTTCATATTTACATTTTATTTAAAAACTATTAAATATTTCATAAATTTCTATGTTCAATACAATCTCAACAATTAAAATCCTTAATTATAAATCTACACACTTATCATGGTTATGGGTATAATAGTTTGTAATTCTGTGGTCAAAACTATGAGGGAAACCTCATAATTTACTGCAGAATAACATAACCATGATAAAGTGGGGCTTTACTGCATTTAAAAATCTGTAAACATTATTTTTTTTAATGTCTTTTATATGAAAGTGTTTTTTCTTTTCAGGAAAAGTGAGAGTAGAGTGTTTGACTTATCCCACCCTCTAACTCCTGCCAATTTAATGTCTTTCTTAGTGGCAAATCTTGATCCCACTCATCGTCTTGCCTTGGCTCTCTCTGCATGTCAGGATGATTGTCGTGAACAAGTAGTTCAAGCAGCCACAGTTATAACCACTCGGCTTCACCATGAAATTACCACCACTACTGGGAGGTTTCAAAAGATCCTTGATCGACTTGTGAAAATGACTGAGGAAGACAAGATGCTGACTGATAGCACTCATTGGGAAGTCCATTACCATTTATTAATCCACACAAAATTTCGACTTGCAAAAGAAATAAAGAAACAAAGAAGCAGACTTCACCATCTTGGTCAAATACAGAAAGTGTTATCAGAGCCTCCAGAAAAGAAGGGGCTACCAAACCCTAGTGAACTCTTAAAATCTTTACGTTACATATTACAAAGAAGCAGTAATTCCAAGGGGAAACCTGTAGACCCAAGTGCATATCATGATGAGCTATAGTATAGTGGGTATGAGCTATAGTATAGTGGGTCTTTAGAGTTTAATACTGGAGTTCTACTGTGATATTTGTGACATGCACACACACACACACACACACACACACACACACACACACACACACACACACGGAGAGCTAGAATAGTTACTACCAATTTTACACCTCCCAAAACATACTGTATCTGTTAAAAAACATTTTTATTGTTGCCACCTAGTCAGGCATAAGGAATGTTATAGGCTAGGAAAGTGTGATGCATTGTGCATTTTATTGGTTCAAGTATCCATGTTGTCACTTCTATAAGCAGGCTTAACTATTGAAGTAACTTGAATAATTAATTGGTCACACCTAAGGTACTTTTCTCTACATGTGATATATTCAGTATGTTGTTGAAGGTGATCTGTTCACTTGTTACAACTTTAAAGAGAGTATTAGTTTAGATTTCATATTGAATATGATATTTGTTGGAAAACTCTGTGCAAGATTTTTTAATGGAAATGATGTTCTTCCACAAACTATCCTGCATTGATACAGTGGTCCCTCGGTTAACGAGCACAATTCGTTCCAGAAGGTTGCTCGTCAATCGAAAAATTTGTTAACCGAAACCATTGTTTCAATGGGTTTTTGGGTAATTGGTTCCAGCTCACCAAAAATTGCATAAAGTAAACAAAAAAGGTATTAAAGTACACTTACTTTAAGGTGTGTATGTAGAAGGCTCCTGGATGATGTTGCTGATGTGAATTTGAAGTGGGAGGTGGAGGAGAAGGGAGAAGAGAAGGAAGTGGGGGTGGAGGAGAAGCATTTTACTGCTTCTTGGAAGGTGAGTCCCCTTCCATGAAAATGTCAGGAACCTCTGGACTGACAGATTCTCCAGCAGGAACATCCTCTCTCCTTCTTGAAGTGGAAGGCCGAGTGCTAGCATCTTTTTCCCGCTGCCTTTTAGTGAAGAAACTGTCAATTTTTGTTTGTGGAGCATCTCTCCTCTTCATCATAAATTGTTGTTTGAAGGAGACCACTGTGTCCTCAACATTACACAAAGCAAGTTCTGCTTTTTCCACATAAGGGTGCCTTGAAGCCAGTTTCCTGAACTTCTCCCAGTAGTGAACAACATCTTTCAAATTTGAAGTAGACATATGGTCATCACTTTCCTTTTCCTCCTCACCACTGTCAGCCTCTAACATTTCATTCAGTTGCTGCAAGTCTTCAGGAGTAAGTTCCTGCTCATGAGACATCACAAGCTCTTCTACATCATCCTCCTCCACTTTAAGGCCCAATGACTGACCAATGGACACAATCTCCTGGTCCAACTCTGCTTCTTCCTCAAATCCCTCAAAATCACGGACTACTGATGGTCACAGTGCTTTCCATGCAGAATTGAGGGATCTAGCGGAGACTTCTTGCCATGAGGACACAATCCGGGATGTTAAATTGTCTTCCAGAACTGTGCCAGTGTTAGTTCAAGATCAGTGGAAGTTGCCTGATGACACCTCCTGAACATTTTCTTCATGTACAGCTTCTTAAAGTTGCTGATCACATTCTGGTCCATTGGCTGTATGATTGATATAGTGTTGGGAGGCAAAAACACTTTGACCAAGTCAAATTGAGACTCCAAAGTGCTGGCAAGTTGAGGGTCATGACCAGGGGCATTACCCATAAGGAGAAGAGCCTTTAAAGGAAGTTTATTGGTGGTTAGGTAGCTCTTCACAGAAGGGCAAAACACCTCAACTGCCCATTCATTAAAGAGCTGTCTTGTCACCCATGCCTTACGGTGGGACTTCCAATAAACTCCAAGCCGTCCTCTTACCACTTTTTGTTGCTTGAACACCCTGGTGTTCTCAGAGTGGTAGACAAGCATAGGCTTCAGTCGGAAATCCCCTGAAGCATTGGCACCAAGCAAGAGTGAGACGGTCTTTCATGGGTTTATGCCCAGGTAAAGAGGCTTCATCTCTGGTGATGAATGTCCTTTTGGGCATTTTTTCCAGAACAGCCCAGTTTCGTCCACATTGAACACTTGCTTTGGAAGATAATTTTCTTCGTCCACCAGTTCTTTAAAGTCCACTAAAATTTTTGCTGCTCCTTCCTTATCAGCACTGGCAGCCTCGCCATGCCTAACAACACTAAAAATGTCACTTCTTTTCTTAACTTTTTCGAACCAGCCCTTGCTGGCCCAAAACTCTTCAAACTCTGTGCCTGAAGAACCAGGTTGATCTGCCTTTAAATGTTCATAAATCTCCCTGGCTCTTTCACAAATAAATTCGGTCGAAACTGAATCACCTTTCATTTGTTTTCCCTAATCCAAATGAGAAGTATCCTCTCTGTTTCTGCCATTAGGGATCTACCTTTAAACACTCTGGTAGATTTGTCTCTCACTTTCACTTCCTTGAATTTGTCTTTCTGTGAACGAATTGTTGACACAGTTGATGTCGACATGCCATATTCTTTGCTAAGCACATTTGTTCTAATGCCTTCTTCATGTTTCTTAATAATTTCCTGTTTCACCTGGATTGAAATTGCTTTTCTGGATTTCTTGGGACCCATGCTGGATTCAAAAACAATTTCAACACTAAAATTTTAAGTTTAATTGCTGTAAATAAAGAATATTTTCTTTAAATCAACACTGCACTATATATCATCAATATGTAAAATAAATTTCAAAATGATCAATAATTTCACTGTAAAAATGGAAAAAATAGTTTATGTTGAAGTGAGTCTGAAGCAAGATGTTACCTCCACTGAAAAGAGACAGAGACTGACGCCTGTTTGGTGTGTTGAGTGGTTGTTTGGCGTGCTAAAAACTAGTTTCCCTCTACTTCAATTATGTTAAATAATTGTTAAAATGACTCAAAATTTTAATATAAGACTTAAAATTATTGAATAGTACAAACTTCTTGATATTTACTAAAATAGTAAGGAATTTAAGCCCTAGAACCGATTACTGTATTGGCGGACTAATACGACTGCTAGTGAGCAAGCGAAAACATGTTGAGGGGCGCTCGTAAGGAATTCGTTAATCGAGGGATTGCTCGTTAACCGAGGCGCTCGTTAACCGAGGGATCACTGTACTGTATATGCCAAAACCTTAGTCTACCAGATGTATACAGTTATAGTATTTAAATAATGATGTTGATGTTTCAAAGAAATTTAATGATGGAAACCTTGGTTGAGAAAGTTTTTAGAACTGATTTGATAATCTTTAAAGGTTGTCTTTGAAAATCAGGATGTATTTATGTTTGATGGATAATTGTCTACATTTAAATATTTATATTTTTTTCTGGTTTACTTGATAGTATTGCCAGGGTCTGTATCCTTCAAGTTGAGAGAGAAGGATGGAGATGTTGGAACTGGGGAAGATATTAATATTTATAGCATAGCAAGATGTTGGGATCTAAATTATTTAAGGTATGGTAAATAAAGAAATATTGCTCATTATAATTTAATTACCATATACTGTAAACTAATGGTAAGAGGCTTCATTGTACGAAGGATGGTGTGCATTATCAATTTTTAGCACAGGTACAGGGGATATTACATTGCTGATGAATTTGGGATTGTGCATGTTTAGCATCGTTTTTTTTTATGACATCATTGACTGTCCTCTGCCAGTGTAACCACTTTGTGAGTGAGTGTGGGATCGTGTGGTGGACCTCGGTTAGTGTGGTTTATATCTGATTACATGTGTGCTTTAAGGTAAAATACTAGAATTTGTGTTTTAGTTCATATATGGGATTATTTACCCTAATATCATGCCTCAAATACTAGCATTGAAAGTTCTTGTAATGCTTAATATAAAGAAAACTATTTATTTTGGGTACGAAACTGGAAGTCCGGTAATTTGATACTGGTGAAAATTTTACTCCAGAAACAAACCCTCCTCAGTTTATATTTCTCACCCCTAAAATTGATCCACTTCTTGTTGCTTCATTTAAAATAACCATATCTATGATGATAACTGGGGAACCCTTGTACTACAGGTACTTGTATTCTTTTAAAGGCATAATTTAAACTGCCAGTGCCATGCAGAGCTCTTGAGAGTTAAATGCAGTAATGACCTGACCAATCTGTTTGGATTATTTTTATCCTCTTCACCACTGATCAGCTCGTTAGCCACTTGGGCGATCGGTTACATATGTTAAGCACTGTTGGCAAGTACTGGCTCTTGAATGTATCTGAACCTGCTCCAGTGCTTATCCAGTCTGGTCTTGAAAGAGCTCGCACACGGTGCCGTCTCAATACTCTCTGGCAGGTTGTTCCACGAGTTCACGACTCACTCCAAAAAGTTACCCCTCACAGTTTTCTGAGCTTGTGGCTTCTTTAACCTTGAGCTGTGTCCCCTTGTGGGGCAAGCATCAGCCAGCTCCAGGTAGGGGCACTCGACTTAGTAGTGCCCTTTGAGATGCTCGTACACCTCAATTAGATCTCCCCTTGCCCGTCTGTAGTATAAGCTAGGCAAGTTCAGGCGCTCCAACCTCTCAGGGTAGCTGAGGTGCTACAGTGCAGGCACCAGTCTGGTGGCCCTCCTTTGGACATTTTCAATCAACTGACAGTCCCAAGCATATCTCGGGGACCAGACGGGGTGACAGTACTCCAGGTGGGTAAGCACTTCACTCTTGAAGATCGTTATGAGGGACGCACCGTCTAGATATCTGAACAACCTTCAAAGTGGAGTGAAACTGTTAAAGAGATTAAGAGTTTAAATGTGGAGAGGAGAGAGTCAGGAGTTGACAAAGAATGACATGGGTAGAGGTTGTAAGAAATAACATCAGAGTTATGAGCCTGACAAGAGAAACTGAAAGGGACTGTGCAGCATGGAGAGCTGTCATCAAGTAACTGCGGCTAACCCATGCAAGCGTGGAAAGTGGCTGTAAAATGATGATGATGATGAAACTGTTTTTAATATTTACATATTTTTATAGTTATACTTTTGAACTTGAGGGTTGGCACAGTAAAAAGGGAAATTAGGTCCTATAGGTCTGTGTGGCTACAGCACACTGAATACTTGGCATCTGGTAAACATGGAGGCAGTGTGTGACTGACTCGACTTCCTTCATTTTCCTAGGCCTAGTTAGATAGCTATTCATGGCTGGGGGTGCTCTTGATATGAACCAGCGACCCTTAAGACAGGAAGCAAAAGTTGTGTACTATACTTAGATGCTTCACCCCATTGGAGAAATGAAGGTAGTCAAAACTTCCAACTAAATCATCCAAGTATGTGGTGTGTTGGGCGCTCTGTAGTATGGATACATCATGTAAATGCTGACTAACAGAGGAACATATATTTTTCTGCTGTGCATGAGCAACCACATACAGTACTACATTTTTACAAAAAGATTTTTCTTGAAATTTAAAAATAATAAACTATTTTTTGTCTAGTACAGATACCAAATATTGAGAAATAAATGGAAAACTGGGTGTTCATAATTAATATGATATTTCAGGAAGGATTGAAGCAGTTTAGACTAATATTACAAATGATCCCGAAATGAAGAAAGATGGGGTGAATTACGGTCATTATCCACACAAGCCTTGCATGGGTTTGGGTAACTGTGATGGCATGGTGTCCCAGTTGCCATCAGGTAAATTTGAAACCGGTTTTACAGCTGGAAGCCCTTCCTATCACCAACCCACTCACAGAGTGGAACTAGGCATTAGT